AGAATCTGGCACATACTCAAAAGTACATGCTCAGTAAACGTTCATTGCTCAAAGTGAGGTCTAGGGACGCCGTTACATAGGCGTCGATACTCCCCGAATAAAGTCCGGACCCCTCTCTCTCTCGGGTCTCCTCAGATTACCAGCAACCCCCTTGACCACTCACCCAAAAGTTCCACCTGCTCCAATCCTGCCTCCACACAAAGGTCTCAGCCAGGTCTTCTAATGCCTCGTTCTTAAACATGAAGGCAAACAAGAATTCCTAGCCAATTTTTTAAAAATCTGAAACATGGAAGAGAAGCCAAAATAAGTAGCAAAACTGACCCTAAACAAAGCAGAAACGATTTAAGGCTCAGGAGAGAAAAGTTAAAAAGCTCAGTGACATCTGAAAAGATAATAGAGTTGACCCTTGAACAACCTGGAGCTTAAGGGCGCCCACTCTGACACAGCTAAAATCTGTGTATAATTTTTGACTCCCGAAAAATGTAACTACCAGCTTCCATTGGTATCTGCAGGGGATTCGTTCAAGAACCCCTCACAGATACCCGAATCCACAGGTTCTCAGATCCTTGGGTAAAATGCAGATCAATGCATGCAGTTGGCCTTCCATATCTGTGAACTCCCAACCAAGGGTGGAAAACACTGTTTCCGTCTGTGGCTGGTTGACTCCACCAAGGATGTGAAACACAGGGGTCAATTGTACCTTATTTTTCTTAAATCCACGTGTAAGTGACCCCACGCGATTCAAACACATGTTGTTCAAGGGTCAACTGTACATCCTTAAAACAAAAGTATAAAAAGAAACTGAGCATGGTAATTCCTCAAAAATTAAAAATACAATGACCACATGATTTGGCAATTTCACTCTTGTGCATATACCCAAGAAACAAGGTCCCTAAGAGGGGTTTGTACACTGGCCGTGTTCATGGAAGCATTGTTCATAAAAGACAAAAGGCGAAACAACCCAAGTGTCCATCAATGGATGAATAAAAACTGATATATACATGCAATGAATTCAGCCTTTAAAAGGGAGGAAGTTCTGACACTTAGTACAATGTGGATGAAGCTTGAGGACATTAGGCGAAGTGGAATAAGCAAGTCTCAAGAAGACAAATAATATATGATTCCACTTATAGGAGCTACCTCCAGTAGTCAAAATCACAGGAACAGGAAGCAGAACAGGGTTTTCAGGGGCTGGACAGAGGGAACAGGGAGCTGTTGACTAATGGTGACAGTTTCAGTTTTGCAATTTGAAAAGAGCTGCGGATGCTGGTTGAACCACAATGTAAATGTAAGTAACACTGGGCTACAAAACTGTGCACTTAAAAATTAAGGTGGTAAATGTAAATGTTATGGTATGTGTATTTACCACAATTAAAATTTTTTAATTGAGGGCAAGAAAATAATTCTTGAAAATGAAAAGGAAAGCTGCTAAAATTTTTACCTGCATCATGAGGAGTTGAGGGTGAGGGTGAAAAAATAGTCTAGTTTATAAAACAAAAAGAAAAAGAGATATAAAATATGAGACTTATTTAAAAAAGGAACCATCCAAGAAACACAACATCTCACTACCTGGGAACTTCAGGAAATAATAGGAATAATGAAGGGGAGAATAAAAGTTAAGAGAATTTTCCAGAGAGAAAAGGAGACACGCATCTGTAACTGGAAAGTTCTACTGAGTACCCAGCAAGATAGGTGTAAAAAACATATACAATCAAATAAATTAATGTGAAATTTCCGAAAGCCATGGATCGAGATAAGATCCTAAAACTGCCAAATAAAAATGGCCAATAAAACAGGCCATTCCCCAAGCTGAGGACTTAGCCTGTACAGACTTACGAGGAGCAACACTTCAGTCCGCCGTACTAACTCCTGTTCGTGTCCTGGAAGTCACTGCAGTGGTGTCTTCAAATTCGGGGGAATCCATCTTCCACCTGGAATTCCAAATCCAGCTGCAGTCGAGTGAGAGTAGAACAAACACATTTTCATATATGCAAAGACTCTGAAAGTTCACCTCTCATACCCCTTCCTTAGGAAGTTGAGTACATTCTCAAGTAACTTCCTCAAATACTTAATAATGAGAAGTAAATCAAGAAAAATAAACCAAATTCCCAAGGGGATAACCCAAAAAAGAGGAAGGCACAAGCCATAGGGAACACTGAGCCCACACAGAAGTACAACTAAGGGGAGAACACAGCGTTGCCTCCGCCAAAGCCCAGAAAAAAGTCAATCACATTGGAGCCAGAAAATCCAGTCCTGTAGCACCGCGGCCTATGAGCTGGTCTGGAAGAGAACTTGGAAAACGAGTCTCGGGCATCTATTGAAGGCCCAGAATTCAATTTTTAAGGCAATTAGAAACTCAGTGAGGGGAAATATAAGTCATCATCTAAGACAAAGAAACCAGTTCATATCAGAACAGGAAGTCAATGAGATTCGAGGAAGGAATGAAATGGATATGAAGAAAAAAGAAAAGTTAAAAGATGGAAGCTATGAAGGATGTAATGAAGAAAGTAGGTATCTCCTCTCCCGACGAGCAAAAGGAAAGGCAATTAGAAGCTTCAGAGAACACGAATATATAGAAGTACAAATTAAAACAATACATTATTTTACCAATGGTTTTTCTCCATGATTTCTTAGCTTGATGTTTTAAGCCTTTGAAAATGAAAGGCAGACATAGTCGTAATGTGCTATGGGGCTCTGCAAGGAAGCTGTGTTTGATAATTATAGCAGTTTAAATACTGGGGGTCCACTTTTAGAATAAACCTATTAAGTTATGGGAGATAATAGTTACATATGATATAACTATGACTACATTTTAAGTGCAATCTGTCAGTTGAACAACTTTAAGAGTAAAAGTACACCTGACAGTACCCCGGTAGCAATGGCCACGTCAGACACCCAGCTCTTGGTCACTCACACCTGCCGTGACAGGCGCCCGGGCTCCAGGGTAAAGGGCGGTTCCATGGCCCGGGCAGGGATATACGACACAGCCTAGAACTAAGGTGCTGGCATCCTGGTTCCAGAAAGAAAGAAGCACTCCCTCCAAAATGCCCAAAACAATGGAACAATGTCAAAGAAAGAATAAGTGTCACTAGATAAACCCAACAAGCACTTCCTCAGCAGGTGGCCCAGGTTAACATCATCGGTGAAATCATGCTGATAACACATCCTCTTCATACGATATGTTGATAATGACATTTTACACCCCAGCCCCATCTTCCTCTCAAAAAGCATATAACTCACTCTAACCATAAAAAAAAACATCAGACTGATGCACATTAAAGGACATTTTACAAAATGCCTGACCAACACTCCTCAAAACTGTTAAGATCATCAAAAGCAGCCCTGTCCAGGCAGCTCTGTTGGGTAGAGCGCCGTCCCGCCATACCAAGGTTGCAGGTTCGACCACCGCCAGAGCAGCTCAGGTCCTCTGCGATGTGCACTTCATAACCCTCCAGGAAACAGAGGAGGTCATGCTTCTGAACCTCCAGATCTCGGAAACCAACCCTGAGAAGTGGGGGCCCTTCCCGAGAATGCAAGGTTCAAGGCAAAGCAACCACTGGCCTCCAGAACTCCTCTCATCTGCAACCAGGCATGAGGAGAAAGCGCAGGTCAGAAAGTTTTAATTAGAGTGTCTCCTAAGCTGCTGGTCCTTAACTTTTTTTTTTTTTTTTTTGAATAGGCAGCTTTGAAGACATAACAAACTATATGGGACTTCTACCCCAGAGAAATGCATATAAGCAAACCTTTGACGACATTTCCAATGTGTCACACCTCCCCCAAACTAAAGCCTATCCATTCACCCCAGGTTAAGAACTCCAACTGCGGGCCTAGTGAAAATGTCATGCACACAACCACACGAACAGACTGTTTTTCTGGCTTTGTTCATTTAGTCACTATGTATCAAGCATCTATGGTACAGCAGTTCTGGGAATAATAAAACCTTATAAGTGACACTTGCTCCACAGTTTAAAAGAAAAATATTCTCACATAATTGTCTCATTCACTGTTCACAAAAACCCAGTGAGGTAGGCACATAGTGCTCCTCTTATTTTACATATGAGTAAAGACTCAGAGAACATCAATTTCAGCCAAAAAAGAAAAAAAGGGAAGGAACCCCAGGAGGAAATGGACTCTAAATGCTAGGCCTGGCCTTTTCTCTCCCTACTGATATCGGCACCAATGGTTGGAGGTGATAGGACCGGTGTCTGTTGAATGCCAGGGTCGCTTTGTAAGGTGACCTCTGAGGCCACAGTCACAGCCCCCAATTCCCATGGCAATCAGCGCCATGCTTTCCTAACCCAAGTATAATGCAGCTCTGCAAATCAGTGGTCCCAGCAGTGGAGCTCTCCTGGCATTTAGGGGATGTAGCCAGACCCCCACCCCACCTTGCCCAGAGAGCACAACAGCTAACATTTTCTGAGTTCCTGATCCATGCCAGGCACTGGTCTAGGTTTTTGTATGAATGAACTCATTAAGTCCTCACAACAACACCATGAGGTCAGTACAATTATAATCTCCACTTCCTGGACACCTGAAGGAGGTGTAGTAACTTGCCCAAGGATACACAACTAGCAATTTTCAGAGCCAAGAGCGGCTCTCTGCAGGCTCTGTTCTTAACCAGCACTATTCTGCCTCTTTCAAGCCAGTTGTCCTTAACCTTTGGGGGTCAAATGCATCCTAGAGAGTGTAATTTAAGTTCTGGACCTTCTCCTTAGGAAAACGTAGTTAAGCAGAATTTTGCAAAATATTTCAGAGACTCCCGGGACCCCCTGAAGCCCACCATCTATCAATCTCAGGCTTAAAACCCCTGTTTGTCTCCTACATACTGGAGGGAACTGTCCAGGGAGAAAGGAGAAGGGGTGCCAGCGCCGCCGGACTCGCCTCTGCACTCGCGGGAGGAGAGCGGAGCTGCGTGGTGTGACGGGGACACTCTAAAACCAGGAACCCTGAGCTCGCGGACCGCAGTGCCCGAGAACGCCGCCGGGTCGCTGAGCCTCCGGATACAGGTAACTGAATGAGATACGCACAGACCACTGGCTAGCCAGACTGAAAGCTGGCGTCCTTCCCAGCATCCTGGAGTCACAAGACAGGGGACTCAGAGCGGACGGGGTCTCAGAACTCGGGACCCGGGCTCCCAGGGCGGCGGCGCTGTTCCTGGTGCTGAAACGCGCGGCCGCGGCCCTCCGTCCCGAGTACCGCTCCGCGGCCGCCGCGGGAGCTGTCCAGTGCTGAACGCGGATGCGGCGCGGCCCGACCCGCGGGGCTTAGACCCCAGCCTGCCGCACCCAGCCGAGCCGCGATCGAGCTTCTTCGAGCTCTGACGCAGATCGCAGGGAGAGCGGGCTGCAGCGAGCTCCGAGCCGAGCATGGACCTGCAGAGATACGACTCCTACCAGGGCGGAGCGGGCCCTGACTTCAATGAGCACGTCCTGCATAAGGTAAGACTCCACTCCGGTCCTCCGCCCCAACGCTGGGAGAGGGCACCCTCACCAAGAGTCCTCTCTGTTCCCCTAACTTGGCTTTGGGACTTAAAAGAAACTAGTCGCAATCTGTGAGCCTAGAGAACCCTTTCTGTTGGATTCTGTTTACGGCTTGAAACAGATGCGTGAGCACTGGGGGAGGGGCCGCCGCCGGAGGTTTGGATTGTCAGGAGCTTCGTTCATTCATTGACATCACGGGTGTCCCTTTCTCATTCACTCCTTCTTGCCTCTCACCCGTTTGAGTCCCCTTGGGGGAGATTGTTTGTCCTTCCACCCAAGCTCCCGCCCCGTTGGGTCTGATAGTTGTGGTCAAAGACCTCAATTCCTAGCCAAGTTGCCTAAAATTAGACACAGAAATAATGATCTGCAGCAGGGAAAAGAACTGTTGTTTTCAAACCAGACTCTCTCGTGTCTCACAAAAACCGTCCTCCAGCTGTGACTACACTGCCAGTAGCCTCCTGAAAGTGTCTGCTGATTTCAAAGCTCTCGATCATCCGTCACTTCCCTCATTCAAGTTCCTTATGCAACTCAGTCCTCAATAACTCAGGTCTCCAGTTGGAGTGATTGTTGGGGAAAGTCGCAGCCTCGCTCTAGGCAACGGTTTTTAATCTGAAATCCATTGCTTTGAAAGCATCGGGACCTTGTATTTGCCAAAAGAAATCCCTATGACTCCTTATCCCTTTCTCTGCGCTCCTTATTCAGCCTCTATATTTTCTATTTTGCTGATATCAGTTTATTTGTTGTTCTCCTCAGAGACTGTGCACTGTGCTGTACTTAGAGGTTTTTAAATCAAAACATCCTTCTGAAAATTCCATGAATCCAAGCTTTGAAATAATATGATTGACCCTCTTCCCTTAGGACACAATTTATATTTGAGGAAACTGAAGTCCAGAGAGATAAAGTGACTTGTCCAAGAAAACAAGGCAGAAAGTGGCAGCGCCAGTACTAAAGCCAGGAACTATGTATGACTCCATGTCTAATACTCTTTTCTCTACACAAGGGTGGGCCCCGGAGGGGCAGCATTAGCATCACCTAAGGGCTTGTTAGATGTGTGAAATCTCAGTCTCCACCCCGATCTGCTGCATCTGAATCTGTAATTTAACAAGATCCTTAGGAAATAAACATGCACAATGAAGCTTTGGATGCACAGCCCTGTGTCCTGCTGGCTGTTTCTGACACTAATAAAGGAAAATCTGTTATTGGAGGAAGCAGATTTGAATAGTCCATATGCCTGCTCCCTCCAGGTGTCTGAACCTGTGGAGTACAGAAGAGGAGAAAATTTATAACAATTGTCCCCGCCTGAAAGTTTTAAAACCATTACAATATAATCAAACCTTTATTTTTGAGGTGGTAAATGTAGGCTTAATAGAAAGCATATACAAGCAAAGGAACATAATTATAAATGAATTACAAGAGCATCCAGGAGACTAGACATATATGGGCCTCTCCTGGCTTAAACCATTGTATAAAGATAAAAATATTCCTTTTGAAAGATTTAAGATTTGGAGGTCAAAGTTTTCAAATTATTGATCAGATGTGGTCTTTCCCACCTCAACCACTTACCCATGAAATATAGGATGTATCCCACGAAAGCCTTCATTTCCTTTGGGTTTATTGATCAACAAATTGGGAAAGAGCCCATTCAAACAAGTCCCACTCTATTTGAAGACAAGTATCTTCTTACTGCTAACAAATGTCCTGTCCTTGCAGCTTGGTTGTGGGCACCCTGAGAGCAGATACTGGCTTGAAGCCTTTTGTGGTGCCCAACAGAATGACATATGTGTGTGGAAAATTTTCCTTTCCACTATAATGCTGACTACCTCATCCTAACATTACTTTATTATCCTGCATGGCTTTCTATTTTGATCCCCTTAAAAATCTATTTGTAAAGGGGCAGGGTATCCACGTGTTTGCCTTATTTTTAAGTTTGCTGTAGAGCAGCGTCCAAAGAAGTCCTGCTGATTCATTAGAACACAGCGACCATGGGATGTAGGCGTTCCTTCAATATTAGTTTCTAGGGAAAGGATTTTTAAATAAACTTTATATTGAAGTATAACAAGTGCAAGGAAAGCTCAGATCATACCTCTACTCCCTGATGAATTATCACCAAGTGAGCAGCTCTGAGCAACCACTACCAAAATAGGTAGAAGTGTGCCAGCTTTCCAGAACCTTCTTCCTCCCCCATGAAGCTCCTTCCGCATATTCTCCCTTTCTCCTCCCCAGAGGTCACCATTATGGAGGAGGAAGTATCATGAATGTTTTGACCGAGCAGCCCCTGTTGGTGTCTGGCAGTCCTAGAAGCTTGCCAGAGGGGAGACATTTCTGCCTGATTCATAGAAGCTCCAGGCTTGGAATCAGACAGACCTCGATGTGACGTAGAAAGACATCTGTGAGCCCTATTTTTGTTATCTACAAATAGGAAGAATAGCACCTGGTTTATTGCTTTCTGAGTGAAGATGTCGGATGATACGACATTGTTTGTTTCTCTGGCATAGAGCAAGCATTCAGGGAAGGACAGTGGTCCTTAGGGTGCACATCTCAGGCTCCAGAGCGGTGTCACGGTGGGTCTCGCCTGCAATGATGAAGCTCTGTGAGCAAGAGAAGGAGCAGCTCTGTAAGCAGAAACATATGCACACGCACACTTATTTCACAGGCAAGAGCCCATAGGACTAAGTTCACACCCCCTCCTACACAAAAATCGTGACTTCGGTGGGAACGTCCTAGTCCTAAGTTCACAAGTTGAACATTTTCTTTTTCTGGGAAATAAAGGCGGTGAGGTGCGGGATGCAGTGAAGCCTATCTTAAAATGCACTCACTTGAAAAACACATGCCAAATGCCACCAGCCTTGAATGGCACTTGCACTTTCGCTAGTCCCAAGAGTTGGAAGCTGACCGAAGTGAGCCTGAGCAACCTTTGACTATTCCTGGAGTGTGGGCTGGGAGCTGCGAACTGCTTGGAAACATTGAGTTCATTCATCACGTGCTTGGAGTTTTTAAATAGAGTTGCCATTGTGCTCACAAATCTGAATATTTCATGCAACTAAATGATTTAGAACATGCAAACAACCTTGCTGCTCTTTCCTTCTGAGAGGTTCCATCCCCCTCTTGCTCCCGGTACAGCCTTGAGAGCCATCAAGAGCAATGACGTGAGTTAGGGGCTCAGGAACCACCCAAGGGTGGGGTTCTTGCTGTGCCAGGGCCTGACTGGGAGCTCTGAGGACACGAGGCACAGAGGGGGGGCAGTTTTTGCCCCGGTGCTAGTGAATCAGGAGAAAGGGACTTCAGCCCAAGAGCTCCAGCTCACTCCTACTGCCAGTGCTCTGATGGACACCCACGTGCCCGTCTTGTTCCATGAGGGGCAAACGATTGCTGAGCCCAGAGCCATCGCCGCCATAGCATCTCAGAAAGGCCAGTTCCCAGGGGGCAGAAAGACGTGGACTGTCCATCTATTCACCTGGAGCTTGGTCCTTGTTGGGAAAAAAATGGAATTATTAAGGATATTGGGACCAAAAGTCTCTGTCTTGCAAGCAAGGTCTGGTCCCTCTGACTCCATTTTCACACAGCTTCTCAGTGAGTGGGGAAGGCAAGTGGGTCCACCTCCACTCCCCACCCTCCTCTCCTGCATCGGCCCTTCACTCCCGTCTTGCGCTGCTCATCTCGTGCTTTCTACATCCCTCACAAGTCCACATGCCTCCGCTAGTCCCTCAGCAAACATGTATCGAGCACTTGCAACGTGTAAGAAACTATGCTGGGCACTGTAGAAAACACACACACACACACACACACACACACACACACACACACAAAAGGCTCCTACCTTCAATAATCCCATGGTCTATGAGACCTGCACACAAATTGCTATAATACTGTGCAGACTCAGGAGCGCCCTAAGGAAGGTACCGAAAGAGACAATGAAGTATAACCTGGGAAGAAATGGTTAATCTGACCTCAGCTTGATGCCAGACCATCTGGCTCTCAGGACCTCTAATTAAGAGTTAATACAACATCTAGGAGAGACCGAGTCACGCACGCCAGCCAGCCTCCCCGCCCATGGAGCCATCACCCACTGACCCAAGAGAAGGCTCTGGATTCAAAGGTATTTTCTTTCCCACCACAAAATTTTACAGGAAAAAACAAATCAGCCAGAAAGGGCTATACTTGCTATTCTGTCTCCCTCTACCATTCTTTATTATTTGGGGATCTTTTTTTTTTTTTTTTCAATTAAATGATGTTAATGAAACACAAATTTGTAGTCAAAAAATCCGAATCTACAGGAAAACCCCAATCCTGCAGGTGAAGTTTTTACTTTCAAACTGAGTCTATCATACCTCAGTAAAGTGGTTTGTTTTTTAAACAAGAAAAATGACCTATAACCAAAATGAGAGCAGTAGCTCCACTTCTTGCCAGATTTCCGCCCTTGGCTCAGGAGCAAATGAGAGAGCCCAGAGGCGTGAGCAGCCCACTCCCTGTAGAATGTTTCCATCAGCTTGTTTTCCTCTCGCTTGAAAGTCTGGAGGCTTTTGGATAAATAAGTGAAGTGTGGGTGACGTCACCACTGATTGCCCACTGGCGGGTCACACCCAGGTCCCCGGGCAGGCAGCTGGTCTGGGGAGTGGCACCAGCCGGTGCTCCCGGACCATCTTAGCCCTAATGACAGTGACTCATGAGGACCTCTCAAAGTCATTTGCTGAACTGACTCCACAAGCTTCCCTCTCCAAGCACTCCCTGCCCTCCTTTAGAGCCCCCGGGACCTCTCGTGAGAGACCATCTAAAACTCCTCGATCCCGTTGATGTGCTTACGTTTCCCCTTAGAAGCTGTTTTGGGGAGGGGCTCTCACGTCCTTTGTGTTCAGGGCAGGAAACACAGCTTTGCTGTAAGTAAACAGCCAGGGGTGAGCATCAGGCCGGGGAATTGTTGGACGGACATTTGGAGTGGCTCTAAATTTACCCCAGCCTGC